CGAATAAGTCCTTTGCGTATGATGGATAACGAATTTTTCTCTCGTCGATCCTGCTGCCTGAAGAAGTGAGGCTGGAAAGGAAGCACAATGCCAATACGAGAAATATTTTTATGCACGACAAATGGATTCCCTTGCCGGACAAAGGAAATTAATCGACTTGGAATTTGTGTGGAAAGAGAAAATCGACCAAACAGTGACAACTTTTCAGAATGGTAAAGTTGGTGACGACTAAAATCATAAATATTGTTGATTATTCTTTTTTATCCAGTTTCTTATCTGCCCATTTTTACATGGTGAATAAGTTGAGACTGGAAATATGTATGTATGCATAAAGTAGAAATATGTCTGAATAGATGACAGACTCGATTAGATTTTGTCCTATCTCGTTAATTTATTTACCAAAAGTCAAGGAAGGAATGTCGAATAATCACATTACGTACGTACACGTTTGTCAGTGGATATATTCATCAAGTTCTTTTAGCGAATTGGGCCTCGGAAAAAAACTTTCACACCACTCAAACCATTATTAATGTTCCCAGTTAGTAATAATTGTGATAAGTTTTTTCCTCGACTTCAATACATTAATCAATCATCATTACGTAGGAGTTTTTATAGGGCCGAGAAAGAAAGTGGTAGCATAACACACACAGTTTAGAGATTGGGTAACCTTTCATGCTATTATTTTTAAGATCAAAAGTAGAATAAAATGTAATTTTCTTTGCAACAGCCTTTATCACATTTCAGGTCTGAGAGAACGAGAATTGCTGCCTTCTGCGACGCTTTGATGAATATGCAGACGTATTGGCAGTGCTAAATTTATGCATTAGTGTGTCCAAAGGTGGAAATTAATCCAGATAATGCCAAACACGCAATTCTGATGTGATGCAATTATTACTGCTGCATGAAACCTGGGTTCGTGGATAATTTTGCATGGACAAGGACACGAAGAATGCCCAACCGTACTTCTCCCGCTCCCGTTGAGAAACTCAATCTATATTGATTAAATTAAACTTGTAATTTGATCCTTTGTAATCTTTCCCATTCTTGAAAGTCACATTTTGTGTTTCGGGTCGAGTTGGGGTTAAAGCTCATTAGGCCAACATAAATAAATCGGATCGGGTTTCTTAAGCTTATTTAGGTAGAGATCTTGTTAATAATGCCCACAGGTTTTTCTTTATGTAGGGCTGGACCTACAATTATACTACTTACACAAAGTTAGTTAACTAAGCTAATTGTAAAGTATTTGCTGTGTTAATTTATTTGTAAAGTTGTGTATTCTAACGGTAAATTAAACCAGAAACAATTAACGAAATATTTTAATAAAGAGCAGAGTCTGGATATATCATTAAATTAAATCAATTATTTAAGATGAAAGTAAATTAAGCTTTAATTACTGATTTTAAATTCTGGAACTACAAATTATTCATTTTATGCTGTCGAAACCTGACGCGTAATTACATAGATAGCATTATTTGCACTCTATGACCATCTTTAATCCAATTCAACCTGCCTCCAAATAACTTAGTTATTGTCTAACTTTAAAAATTCATAGTCCAGTCTCCCCATGACTGCATTATTCAGTGTCAACGAGAAAAGGTCGGCCAGACAAATTTCTATCCCACTGCGCCATGAAAACCACGAACCTCCACATAATCCATGTCATCTCCACAATTTCTCCCCTTTCGCAATTTTCCGTCCGGCCAGATAATTTCGCACGCGGTGTAGAAGCATCTCTCAAGCTTATTATTAAGGTGAGTGTGACATATTCGTCAGGCTGCAATCAAAACCTCTGTCGGATGTCAACGGGGGTGAAGACATTCAACAGTGTTCCGTCCACACGTGAATGAGAAAGGTCCCCTGTCGCGCTGCTCATCCAGTTGCTGCTTCTCTCCTACCGTTGCGGTGGGCAGGTGGCTGGCTGTGCAAAAACAGTAGTTGAAACTGGTGGAGGACAACCCATCATCAAACTGTCCTCCTCAAATCAAGCAAAATTTGCGCAACTAAGTTTCGAGATGAATCCGCTTCAAAGAGAATGTGTGCTTGTCTGGGGCTTGTACCTACATGTTGTATTTCTCGAATCCACGAGGAGGAGATTGGTTGGCTGAGGAAAACCTATTTCCCATAAAATATGACATTTATTAAAAATCCATAAGCTTGCGAAGCTTGCAGCGTTGAGACGTAAGGTCTAATCCAATTTCTAATAAATAGCAATTTGGATTTGTTTGTGAGAAAAGACACCTGATGCCATGCCATATCTGATGGTCTCGGTTATTGAGGTCATTTCTAACGGAGGAAATTTGTATCGTTTTTTATTTCCTACACAGAAGTCATTTCACTGTCTTGTCTTGTCTCGCATAAAAAATTGCTACCGATTCTTTTTCGAGTCATGACATGCATCATACACAAGGAATGAGGCGTACATGTTCAGTGTCATGCGTTCAAAAACCACGTGGTGCGATTGCGATTTGTTTCTTAAATAGTTTTGTTGTTTGAGGAAGGAAAATAAATGGCTTATGTGAGCGAATAATACATTATTTGGGACCTTATGCACATCAAATCGTGACCAAATTTAGTTTCACAAATGTGTGTGTAATATTGACGATAGGGATGAAAACAGTGGTGTCAATGATGACGACGATATTATGGATGGGGTTCACTAACAGCCGTTTGGAGGAATTGTAAGCCATACATATCCGTCCACACTATCGCCAAGAAATTGCGAATAAACTGTGGGGTGTAATTTCTTAAGGATGGAAAGACCCACCATCACCAACTACCTTTCGCCTGACGAGGATAGCATGCACGGCATGAACACACCCGAGGGACGATCGACTATTAAATGAATCCATCATCTTTTGACTTGACTTTCACTCCCTTATGACCACATATGTAGGTAGGTAGGTACGCCAAGGCATGTAAAAAGATGTTGATAGGAAGATAAATTATAATGTGAGCCATTAACCAGCAACCGACCGACGGGGTTAGGCGGCTGATTTTATCGGTGTCTCCCACATATATAGCATCACCATCATAACTCTATCTCGCACTTTCTCCCAGCGCGTTACACATTTGTTTCCTAGCTTCTTCTACTTCGCATTATGCAAAACTTCACGAGGCAAAATTTCGGATAAACTTTGTCTCCCTTCATCACCTGGTTTCTGTTTTCTTCCAACGTTCGCATTCGCCACGTGCTGATAACTGCTGGTGGTCAGCAAAGTCTAAAAAAATATGACTTTTTTATATGAAATTCCTCGTGTTCCCGTTGTGAATAAAAATAGTTTTAAAGTTTTTCTTCCTATATATAAACGCGATAAAAGTGTTTGTGAGATTGTGACAATTCTTCAAAGAGAACTAAGTTGAGGAAAGCCTTTAAAGTCGTATATTTCTATAAAATAATCTCATGGGGGTTGGTTCACATACGCGTACGAACGACCACCACGATTGAGGACGCAAGGAGAAAGTGAAGGACGGCTGACTTACACTTCTCTCTTTTGAGGTGGTAAGCGGTTGGTTGGTGTGGGTTGTTGAGTGACAAATCAACTGGTGCCTTATGGTAACTCGATTTGTAAGGGAAGAAGCCCTACAAGTCTTTGAGAGGTGAGACTCAAAGTGTGCTGCATAATGGTAAAACCACTCAAAAGGCTCAAAATCGCTTTCACCTCAAACGCAACAAACCCTGCCTATTTCTGTAATGTAGTTTCCTGCTCCGACGCCCACAAGGCCTCTCTCTGTTTGTGTAAACAAAGTTGAAAAGTGAAGAATTTAATAACGATTCGAAGGATAAGAACTCCTATTGATTTTGCTCCAGTGAATATTTAAAGAGGAAAGTGAGATGTTTATAAAGATCTGAGATTAACATATATTTATTTATGGGAAAAATAAAATATGTAGCTAGACTGGACCAGCCATATCTACATGCGTGCGTAGCTACACATGTGATGAACAGTCTGTCAGTGAAGAAACTCTAGATTTGTTCAGACTGTAAATAATAATAAAAATAGTGGAACGCACGTGTTGAAATGTCGCTATTTGAATTTGCAAGTATGTAAATAAGCAGAAAATAAATACGTGAATATTCCGTGTATCGCAAAATAAATATTTAGTATTATACGTTAGTTCGTGAAAACCTTAGTGTCACATTTTCATATCCGATATGAGGGATTCTTACAGAACTGTCCCCTCATATTCCAGATGCCCCTCTTGTATGGAAAACCTGTCAATATCCACCAAACGAATTGCCCACCTCGAATTTCACTTGGTACAAAAAGGCAAACTATTACTGACACCAACAATTTGACAGATCATCGCAGCCACATGTTTCGCTTGTCAGTAAGGAAAACATAACTTCCAACCACTTTCACTCCTTCAGTGTGGTTGACGGTGTGTCTAGCGTATTGCTCAATTTTGTGTGCGGCGTGTGTGTGGCGTCTCAATTTTGTCGTTGTTTCTCAACCACCTCAAGATTGACAACTCCAATTGATGTCTTTTCAACTTTTATTCGTGCTTGAATATTGGATATGACATTTTCTCCTACCCACACACAAAAACCCCGATTCACAAGGACAAGTGGGTTCCTAAAAGAATTTACAATCCCAGCCCAACTCAATTAATTGGAGACAACTGCTACTTACTGACGATTGGTGTTTGTCCGTGATTTAACGTAAATAATACTGACAGATTGAAATCTTGTGTGTGGCATGATTTGATTCATTTGGTGAGTCTTTCACTAGTCATTCTTCTTTAGAAAGAAGCTATTTTTTGTTTACTCGAGATTGATTTGTGCTAGTAAAACTAGAATCAAAGGCACCCCGATGACATTGGCAAACAAGGAATGAAATTCAATTACACAATATTTCCTTTGACAAATTTTGTTTTCACGGAACTTGGACAAGTTAATTTAAGTTTGGCTTATATTTTTTGACGATAGAGAAACTGCGACCAGGATCACTAATCTGATACAATGCCTTTTTTATGGGTTACAGTGTGTCTGATAAATTGTTCCCTGTGATGGTCGATTGTGATTTTGACACCACCGGGTCGCTGAATCTTATGCAATGTCAGGTAAGATAATATTGAAGTAATAGATCTCTGCTTACCTTCTACTAAATGACGCATCAACTGTAGACGATCTACATATTTGTGCATGTTTAGAGCTTTTAAACAGTAACTGGATTAAAGAGAAGAGTCAAGTGCCTAATGCCTATTTATCTTGGCAAGGTTTGTCATCATCCATACTGAAATGTCACAGCTGTGTGACTGACTTTGCATTTATGGCAGAATCAGAACTTGACAGGGCATCTCAAGTTTTGAGATGCAATTGATCTTGACTCGGATCTATCTCCAATCAGAGTTAATAAGGATGAAGGCTTGTAAAAGAGGGGAAACTGGCTGGATCTGCTTGCTTTATGCATCAGGCAGTCGGGAGAGAAAAAGCAACTCAACAGATAGCTCCCTTCCGGCGACATCTCATTCATTCTGAGATAATTACATGAGCGAGTGACAGCACGAGATACTGCTCCTGCTACTCCTGCATTTCCGTGTTTTGTAATTTCCATTTATTTTGTCCTCTTATCCGCCCATGATCTCGCTGGATGAGATAAGACAGTTGGCAATTTGGATATGGGGGAAGTGTCTGTCTCACTAACTCATTTCGCTCATGTTGCAAGTATTGTAGCTTCAAGCTACTGTTACCTTCCAAGTAACGCAACTCGCGTATCTAAAGTCGTGGCATGATGGCAGGGTGGATCATCCAGCGCTGGGAATAATATTAGCACGGTTTAGTACAAAATTTTAAATCTGATCCTATACACGCCACATTTGGCATGCTAGTTCATATATATTTATCGGGTATTCTAATCGCATGGAATTTATTGCATATCGGCAGAACAGAACGGGTCCAAATTTGTTCGGAAGCTTTCCCATCAATCCAAACAACCCAATCTGCCACAATAAAAAAAGCTATACTTTATGCGATGAACGAGGTCAATCCAAAGTATATAGTTTAATAATCGCGAATCTCACTGTACCCTTATGTCAAATTTTTGCATGTCTATGATGAAATTTCACACTAAACCCCGTGGAATTTAGATGCTCCATCATGCAACGACTTGTGCGGGAAGTGAGTTACTTGTAACAAACAGGTACACACACATAACCTCTTCCTCATCCGAGATTTTAGTATTTAACGGGTTGTAATACTCTCTTTTTGTGAGAGCGGTTGACTGATGAGTCGCCCATTGTTTCCTGATTCAGCTCCTAGTTTATTAGCAGGAGAGACGAATATGTGGTTTGTTTTGATGTGCGATGGCGTTCCTGTTGTGAGCCGTGCTAAATTTCTCCCACAAGAGCAGCAGCAGAATAGACGAGGGTTGTACAAATTGCTAATCAGAGTTACACATCGCATGGACGCGAACATGTAGGCTCAGCCCTTCCGAAAAGCCTAGGCAAGGTGTATACGTGGAAAGATGAGTAGTTAAGTTTTTATTAAACAACAACCGTTTTGATGAAGGTATGACATCAGGAGTCGTGAAGAGCACGTAATAAAGCCTGTGGTCAAAGAGAAAGTCGGACTGGGTGCGTGTGGTGCTTACTTGGTTGCAGCATCTGGCGAGAGTTCACACAACAGAACGACCGCATTGTCTCTGTTTGCATTCTTTCAGTCCCTCATACGAGGTATGCTAACAAAGCAGTTTGAACAAAAGGCAGACACGAGATCAGCCTAAAACAACTTTCATCCACATCAGAGAGAAATTGTCGGGTATGGAACGTATGCACATATGTGTGTACATATGGCTGAGTAATGGTAGGAATTTAGGAGAAAGCAAGCCCACCACCACGACCAAAACCGAAATATTATATAGCTCCATTCTCATTCCACAACTTTAAAATGGCCCCTGCTTCTGGCCTGGATGGAGGACGACAGGAGCAGCAGCAGGGAAGAGGGCGATGGAATGAGGGAAGCGAGAGAATTTCACATATCAAACAATTCATGTTGATAATGCCATTCAAAGGATTTCATCTCCGCAATTCTCATCCAACTCTCGTGGTAAACTATTTTGATATCTCGCGTATCATCTGCTTTTAGCTGGCATCACCAAAACCGTGTATTCATGGACTGTTCAACCCCCACGAGTGAACTTTGATGTTTAAATTTCACAGGAAATCCATTGTTGATTGAAGCAGAGCAGGCAATGAAATTTCGGTGTGTCATGTCATTTCAAAATTGTGTAGAGCACCGCAATTGTTCATCACTCCTTGTGCCATTAAATCCTGCGAGATATCCGACTCCCAAGTATTCCTAGGTGTTAGCGGAACGCTGTTATTGTTTGCAAAAGCTTTCATAAAAAGCCGAAGTTCGAATAATCGACTTAAAATATTAACACACATATCTGTGCAAATGTTTGAATTGTGTTTGGAACATTTACGCCAACTGTGTGTACAAAGTTTGAAAATTTTGTAAAAATTTACAAAATTGATAGATATCCTAGATGAACATGAAATAAAATATAGTAATCTAGATTTTTCCGGAGATTTTTTTAAAGGTTATGAACTTATTAACTACACACCGCTGCAAGTGTTATTTTCACCATTGTATATTAATGAATTCTGAAATTATGGGATATGCTTTGGGTTCTTGGTAATACGGAAATAGTGAAAATTTCTTCATGCTTATATTTACTGAAAGCATTCAAATGCCTGGATAAAAAAAATATAAATTGCTCCTTATACTAAATTCGTGATTTAGTTGACGAACTACATCCTGTTGTTTAATTTAGTTTGAAATTCTGTTGGTTATGAAATTGTATTTTTTATGGAAAATTTTACTATGCATGTAAAACTGTTTGTAAAAACTCAATTTAGCTCACACGTGAGCAGAATTTAATTGTGATCCGTCATAATCAAAGTCTTGAAAAGACCACAATTTTCCCCCTCCATGGATAAATCATATGATGCATTATTTCTTTAATTCTAGAAATGTCAAGACAGCAGCAGAAAAAACACCTGAGGGGGCATGTAGATTGATGGATGGCTTTAGTTTTAACAATTCTACAAACAACGGAGGCAAAGTCTACGCAATTTATCCACTCTGAATATGTATGAATATATCGTCGCTTTATGTTGACCAAACCTCGAGAGCGCTCTCCAAACAAACTTATTTGGTATTAGGTACGTGTGTTACACCCCGACACACAGGATTACGATTTAATCTAAAATTTTGAAAATTATTAGAAAAGAAAGTTATCAAACGAACTGGGCGCACGAGTCCATAATTAATATGCACGCTTGGGTGGGCGATAAAGATCTAAGACGACGTAAACTCCAAATATTAATACCACACTACATGCGTCCTTCTTTGTTTACGCATTTATATGCAAGGTGATTCTTGATTTTGATGAATGAGAGGTAAGGGGAAAAATAGGCCGAGATTATGGAGACTTTTGAGATTAATTCAGCTCGCACATAAATATTTTGTATTTACAGCTTGTGGGGTAGATCCTCGTTGGTCGAGTAAATACAATTATTTTACACGGAGAAATACAAACAACCAACAGTGCGTCAAAGTGGGAGCAAGCGAATCAAAATATCAATCACGAAATGGAGGGGAATTAATAACCAAGTAAAATAAAATTAGTTCCACTCCAAAAACAATACTTTAAGCCAGGGTCCAGACCGACAGGTCTCTGCTTTCTCCAATTTAACACTACAGGTCGATGGTCTTACCTGTATGATATCTTATGGGACGAGACACAGTTTTTCGCCCCGAAAATTTTCGGGACGGGACGACCCCGTTCCGATCAATCCGTCTCGAACTTGAATACTTTTCTCAAAATTCACTCACGTTATTGCCAAGGCTAACAATACTTTATATAAACCTTTCACATGCAGTAATCCGACTTCAATTTTCTTCTCAATATAGTCGTAGCTTGCACTTTAACCTTATCCAGGTATCGACATCATTAAATTTTGCAGGTATGTGACACGATAGCTGTTTGTTGATTTCTCCAACCGCTTCGAAATAAAAAGATAACAAAAATTAAATAAAAAAACTTCGGAATATTCCGTCCCGACCAATTATCGGGATGGGACAGCGAAATCCCATCCGAAATCCCAACCGTCCCGTCCCGTCCCGTGGAAAATCCTACTTACCTTCTAGTTCTCCATGTTATTACACATATTTTGTGTCACAAGCAGTTAACAGGGTTCCAAACTAATCCATCCATGATCCAGGCCCTTTTTGTTTCCATGCTTTGATTTTGCTAAATTGTGACCAGTTCGTTGTTTATGTCTTCCTAATACCTAGTTGAGTTCCTGTGTGGTGAGTAATCCTCGCCGAGCTTTATTTCCAGACTATGTTTTGAGATTAAATTCCGTCGAGCACATATTTACTCAGTAACAGGAGAAGTAGTGGAAGCGAATGGTGGACAAGCTTAGCTTATCTAATAAGCGTACCAGTCCCTGAGAAGAATTCGTTTGGCGAGTACGATACAATTTATGTGCAAACCCATGCAATTAGGGTACATATGATCAAGGCGGATTTTACAATATCAAGATTTTTTTATCTGGCCCATCGAGAATCTTATATAACATGTCTTACACAATCTTTGAAAGTGATTTCACCCTTGGAATGAATTTTGCATAATGAAAAAAGCGTTACATCACAACGCATTGTAAGTATATGCACCGTATTGTAGTACAATATGTATTAAGTATGGTTACGTCGTAACTGTGCAATCTTCTCCTTCGAGACATCGTCCTGTGTGCATATTAGTTTTTTCCTTTTGCACTACCAGAAAATGAATTTGAAACTCAAAATTGAGCGGAAGAAATTAATTAGTGCAATAACAATAAAAATTCAAATTGGAGCATGACATAAGTATCTATGTGATGCTACCCTATAAGACTGCGAAGATCAAATTAGTTCAGACGAGGAGAGCCTAGCATATAAAACATGAAGTACTTCCCCACTTCATTTTTATGTCATTGCACGCTAAAGCCTGACGAAGTCTGAAACGCACAAGTCTGATGATGATGATGATGAAACGTGTTTTTACCAAGTTCAG